ATACACATCTATAATGACCGTATACGTTGTATTTGGGGGAAGAAGGTAGGAGTTAACATGTGGACTTTGGGCGATCGAAATGCATTCGAACTCTTAATGTGTGGTGGTGAAGGCCCTCGCTCCACTACTACAGTAGACAGCTTTTCTCAATGCATCTGGACGTTGGGCCATCCAAGTGCATTCGCAGAGTCCGAGCCAATTGGACTCGCGAAACTCGTTGAATGTATCGGGACGAAAACGAGATACAGATGCATTTGGACTGTTGTGTAGTGGAGGAAGGCCCTAGGAGTTAACATGCGTGTGCCATGCAGCCACGTGGGCTGGGTATGAGCTATTGTTTATTTTTGGGATGAGCGACGGTTGTCAGCTGCCGTGGGCCCCGAAAACGTTTTTTTTTCCCCTTCTTGAAAAACTAAGCTATATTCTTCTCTCAATTTCACGTTTCACTAGTCCTAGCCCAAAAACATTTCGAATAAGCATTTTATGATTTTTTTTCTCCTTTTGTTAATTCTATATTATTATATTATATCATTATTACGTGTCAACTGCCTTGCGGCCGTTGCTGGCCTGGACCTGAGGTGCTGAGTACATGTGTCCTTGGGATTATCCGGCAGGTATTCGGTCTCAATCACGGTCACATTCGAAGCCCCAAAGTGCCCGCTCTCCCAAGCAAACATCAAACGCACAGCGGCGTGCTGAACCAGACGGAGGATGTCTCAGGACATGCTTATATATATATAATATGTGCTTTTTCTGAATGTGGACGACTAGGTCGTCAGGTGCATCCAGGAAAGGTAATATTCGAGCATGCCGTGCAAATTCTAACGATACAGGAAAGGGTAATTAGCATGGTCTGTCCGCAAAGGATGACATGCGTAAATAGAGAAATGGTCCAATAATAATAATAATAATAATAATAATAATAATAATAATAATAATAAAAAAATAAAAAGTTGCCTCGTTATTCAAATTCCACGTCAACAATCAATCACAAACCTTCTGTGCCTTGCGGTCCTCATTGCCGCTCTACCCTCTGGTCAGCAGCTTTCCTGAGAGAGGGAAATCGTTCTGAGTGTTTTCGTTCTTTCACCTTTGATGTCATCAGATCCTGCCACTTGTCCAATTCTTGCCGCTCACAGACGTGCATCCATCTCGCTCATCTCCTCCTCATCGAACCCAATCATTTCTTCAGCTTCCCAAGCCTTCAGCTCGTTGTGCAACCTTTGATCTCTCTCTCTCTCTCTCTCTCTCTCTCTCTCTCTCTCTCTCTCTCTCTCTCTCCCCTTCTAACCTCTCAGCCCTTTCCCATTCCAGTATTCACTCACCAAGCCCGATCAGTGTCCAGCGTGCCCAAGCCTTCAGCTCGCTGGAGTTTAGATCTCTCTCCCTCTCTCTCTCTCTCTCTCTCTCTCTCTCTCTCTCTCTCTCTCTCTCTCTCTCTCACATGTCTCTCTCCTCCCAACCTCAGGCATTTTCCATTCCAGCATTCCCTCATCGAACTCGATCATTTCGTCCAGCGTGTCCAAGCCTTCAGCTCGCTGTGGGGATTTAGGTCTCTCTCTCTCTCTCTCTCTCTCTCTCTCTCTCTCTCTCTCTCTCCACCCTCCGCATGTCTATCGCCTCACATTTCTCATAGACCTTTTCCATCCGCGATTCACTCCTCTTGTCTAGGGGAGGGGGAGGGGACGGGAGGGGAGGG